CTTGAATGGTCCATTCACAGTAACATGTGAGAGGATGAATAATAGATTTTTATATAATAAAAAACTCATATCTTTTAGAATCATACTTGACTAACTATCACGAGATAACTATTGTTTTCCAATAAAATAAACCATATAAGCAATTTAGAATCATGCGTGTTGAAAAAAAAAAACAAGTCATGAACAATAATTGAAGATAAAAATAGAAAAAGATGATAGACATACATAAATCAAAATATTGAACATTGCAACATAAAGCTTTGATCTAATTGCACTTTTTTGGTTATTCGGATAATTTATTTATATTGTTTTTATTTTTTACATGAATAATTTTTTTTTATGAAATAAAAAAATATTTACTACATGTGTTGTCTTGTGTGGTGTTTTTTTTTCTTTTTATTTTATTCAATCAATTTATATTTATATTTATAATATTAATTATTTAAATAAAATTTATTTAATAAAGAAATTTAACAAACAAAAGCAATGTAAATATCCTGTCTTTCAAAATTAAATATCTTAATTTTTATCTATTTATCAATTTTTTAAATTTTATTTTCAGATATTGTTAATGATTATTTATTTACTCATTTTTATATAGTTTTAAATTTTTTTATTATATATATGCATATATATATATATTTTTATTTTTATTGAATTTAATTTTTTTAAACTACAAAAATATATAAATTGTTTATTTTTATTGAATTTAAATTTTTTAAACTACAAAAATATATAAATTGTTTCTGCACATATGTGTGTGTGTATATATATTTATAAAAAATAAAAATATTAACCTATATAAAAAAGTATAATTTACCTAGTTAAATTTTAAATTTATTTTTTAAAAATTATTAATTTGATTTCTCTCAATTTTAAATTATAATAATTTTATATTATTATTAATTTCAAGCCTCATTCAATTGGTAAAATTAGGACGTGCGCAGACACTGGCCCGGTATTAACTAAAAAAATGAACTTGAAACAAAACCCTTCTGTTCGTCTGTTTGCTAGCCCCAAATCGATCAGTGAATCCCTTCCCAGCAGTAACAGAGAGAGATATGAGACCGATGCAGGTAGACTTCTTCGCAGACAGGGAGGAGCAAGGATCGACTGTGGCGATGGACGCGGATGACGTGGACACACCGGAGATGTTCGGGGAGGGAGTCATCAACACGGAAAACAAGCTCGCCGACGCCGATTTCTTCAACTTTTTCGAAGACGATTTCGACGACTCCGACATCAACTAATCTGACCCTCCTTGTACCCGCTTACCGTGGCCTGGCTTTTTATAGCTTTTGAACATTGGAGAGTGGAGAGGGAAAGAAACACAACTTATTTTTCTCGTGCTCTGCTTTAACTATTAATTAAATATATCTAATTGATTATTATTATTATTGATTGCTGATAAACTATAATGTATGAAATTGTGTTTGATTGCTGTAGAAGGTTTAGCAAAAAATTGGGATTTTTTGGCGGTTTATGATGATTTGGTGCAATGACTGGAGAAGGCAGGTTGTGAAGAAATTACTTTCTTTCATTTATCTTCTTTTGATTGTTTATTCTGGAGACTTGAAACAATATTTGTGTTTGATGCATGTTTTAGCTCAGGCGTGTTGAACCTGACGGCCGTATGTTGCAAACACGAGTTTTCATTTAATTCTGTTTTCTGGCCTGTAAATTAACACTTTCATCTGGCACATACTGTGCTTGAGTTTGTAGTGCTCCCGAAGTTTTATTTTTTACCACTGTGGTGCTGCTAAGGGCATTTACAAAGACCTTTATGAAGACTTTGACAATTCCTTGCATTTTTAAGTTCATTCAGCATGGCTTCTCATTTGGAAAAACAAGTGGATTTGGTGCTTGATGTGGTTAAATCTTCTTTGTTGCCCAGAAATATACAAAGAAACCAGGCTAAGCTTTTCAATATCTACATCAATAATAAGCTTAAATCAGTTATGTTCTTCTATCTGGAGTGATGAACATGAAGGTTCGAGGAGTGTGTATGTGGCTTTTGTGGAACTAGGATTATTTGGTGTCTTGATGGCATGTTGTTGAGTTTGCTAGGAATGTTTTTTTGGTGCTTTGTAATGGGTATGCAGATGTATGGGTAGTACTTGGAATTTGAGAAAATTTCCTTTTTTTATGGTAGCTATAACCTCAAGATTTATTAAAGATGTTTCTGAGTTATTCCATGTCATTTGCCAGGATATCTGATGTGTGAGGGATTGAGCAGTTCATCAGAAATATAACTCAGACGGTAATATGTTCACGTTTTGAATGCCAGTGGCGGTAGGGCTAGCTGGTGAGCTTTGTGCCATGAAGCAGGTCTTGTAGTAATTAGACTGGGTATTTAACTATTGATTGTTCGAGGCCTATTTGAAGTTTATTTTGCCCTCATCTTGTCCGCAATTCTCTGATGTGTAATGCGTTGATTTGTGCCATAGCTTAAAATTATTTCAGACAACAATTTTTCCTCTTCTTTTATACAAAACAAAGACGATTTATGATGACTGAAGCCCTTTTCTAATCCGTTGTATCCTTGGAGAACCCTTCATTCTTGGAATTAGAATTATCGAAAACTATGTTGTCAAGTCTTTTTGTCAAAGGGGGTGTCCAGAATAGTAGCTCTCTGTGAGGTGCACCAGCTAGACCTCCAACGGGCACGGCTTCACCATTAGGAGCAGGATTTGTCCACGAAAAACCAGTACACATCTTTCTGGACGAATCCTACAAGTATTCAGCGCTTGACAGGCTCTGGTAATCAATAATACAAACTGCATTTGCCGCGGCAGAGTTTAACTCTTCCTCCATTCGTGATCAAGCATCCTTGCTAGTAAGGTGTCAAGCACAGCGCTGTCTCCCGGGCCTGCATGATTTCTGGCTTGAGATTTAGCGATGTAAATGGAGCTTCGGCAACGTGTCGTATCATCAAATACGTGAAGAGTGAATCCTGTGGGCGATGAGGTTGGTGAAAACCTTCAAAAAATCATATTTTGTCTTGGATTGTTTTAGATTTTATGAACTGTTTATTACCAATATCAATAATTGCATCAATTTATAATAAGAGATGCACAGTTTCTTATTTAATAATGTTTTGTTCTCATGATCAGTGACGAGTGAACCAAGTTTGATCAGGAAATATTGTATTCAGGGATCGCAATTCATCACGAGCGTACCAGCCTTGTCCAAGGTTACGTTGGTTCACAAGATCTTGATGATTTTTTTTTATTATTATTAATATGGATATCTAGATTAGTTTTTTTGTATTTTAATTAATTTTATAGATTTTAAAATTAATTATTATATAAATTTTTAATAATTTTAAAATTTGTAGTACTGGATGTAGTAATCTATTTGAGGTGGTTCGACATCCCAAATGCTCTTGACTTGTTGGACTTTCTGAGGTTCCAGAAGCCCAAATCAATGACTTTTGTTCCAGTAAAGTACCAGACCACGTGGTGCGCCAAGGCTAAAATGAAAACCATACTAGACCACGTGGTTCGCCAAGGCTTAAATGAGCTTAACGCCACACCATGGTTTTTCGGAACATAGATACAGATATGTATAGAAGTTTATTAATAATTTAGTTTTAAATTATATTTTATTTGAAAATATATTAAAATAATATATTATTTTATTCTTAAAACATTATTTTTGATATTAAAATATTAAAAAAATCTGAAAATATATATAATTTTTTTAAAAATTTTTAAAAAATACAATTTAAACTACTTGACCCATCACCAACCTAATTTCAAATATCCAGCAAGGCTGTCACCGGGGAAAATGAAATTTGTAGCCGAATGTCGTTGTCCAAATTGAGAGTTTCGTTTCTCTGGTGGGAATGAATTGCCCTCCATGAACAGAGGACCAGAGACTGTAAATGGAGTAATGGCGCCAGAACTGCTGCTGCAGTTGTTAGCAAGTGACATTGTTTTTCTAGCCTTCATTCATTTAATCTTGCTTTATTATCAAAAGGCTTTTCTATTTCAATCAATAAAGAGAAGGCCATTACCATTTAACATAATTCAATTAAAAAAATTATCTTTCAGAGCAAGGATGATTCTATCATCTTAGAGCTGTCCAAGTTGTTGTCTTCTCAATAACTTTAAGTGTCGTTTTTTTTAGTGGTGTTGTCATCATCTTATCAAGTTAACTGCTTTTAAGGGTATTTAAAAATATACTAGTGTTATTTTTAAAATATTTTTTATTAAAATAATATTTTTTTTTTATTTTTAATATCAACAAATTAAAATAATAATAAACTCTAAAATAAAATTAATTTAAAGTAAAAAGAATCAAATTTTAATAAGACAAAAAAAGTTGAAAATCTCTTCGAAACATGATGATAACGACAGTGCCCTAGTGCATTAAAAGGAGTGTCTATTTCAATCAATAAAAAGAAGGGCCATTACCATTTAACATAATTCAATTAAAAAGAAATTTATCTTTTAGAGTAAGAATGATTGGATCATCTTATCTTATATTTGTCGGAAGTTGCTCTCTTATCAATAACTTTAAGTGTCCGTTTTTTTTTTTAGTGACGTTCTCGTCAACCTGCTAAGATAGCCGTTTTAAATTTTATTTGAAACAGTGTAATTATTTTTTAAAAAATATTGTTTATTTTAAAAAATTATTAAAATAATATATTTTTTATTTTTAATATAACTACATCAAAATAATTTAAAATATTAAGTTATAATAAAAAAATCTATTTAAAAAAAAATATAGGTTGAAAATCTCTTCCAAACATGGTAATAATAACATTGCAAGGAGGGTAAAGTCCACTTATATTTGTTCTTCCATCCGAGAAAGCCTGTGATTGTTTTTAAAATATTTTTTTATTTTTTAAAAAATTATTTTTGATATTAAAGTATCTTAAATTATTAAAAAAATATTAATTTTAAAAAAATAAAAAATTAAATCTTTTTAAAAATATTTTTAAAACACCAAAATAAACAAGAGAAAAAAAGCCAGCCAAACTCTCGATAAAAGCATGCGTCTTCTCGGCAGAATAGCAGTCACTAGCAATCATTAGCACGACATCCTGCGGAGATGAAGAATTCTGTGTCCCTGGGTTTCTTCTTTCTTTCTCCTTTACTCTTCACCGCCACCCTTTTGCTAACAAGCCAGTGCACTATTGTCCAGTCTGCTGCCAATGATCTGATAGCACAAACATGCAAGCACACACCATACTACAGCCTCTGTGTCACTTCTCTTAAGTCTGTCCCTAAAAGCTCCGGAGCAGATGTCCAGGGGCTAGCACTCATCATGGTCGATATAGTGAGGGCTAAAGCAAGCACAGCACTGAGATTCATCAACCAGGAGCTTAAAAGGAGCCCAGGATTAAGGCGACCTTTGAGGTTTTGTGCTAGCTGCTACGATGCAATTTTAACAGCCGACATCCCGGAAGCTATTGAAGCCCTGCAAAAGGGCGACCCTAAATTTGCTGAAAATGGTACAAATGATGCCGCCATTGAAGCCACTTCTTGCGAAGACGGTTTCCACGGCAAATCTCCCCTGACCAATCTGAACAGAGTAGTGCATGACACCTCAGTGGTTGCTTCTGCCATCACCAGGCTGTTACTTTGATAGATTTTTCTTTTGCTTGTGGATTCAAATGTCTTGTAAACGAGTCCTTGGAGGCTCATTCCCAGTATTATGCCTAGTAGCAATTATAGCCTCGTTCGTATGATAAAAGAAAAGGGGATTCTATTTCATTATAAGAAATAAGCAAGTTTTTTTTTTTAATAAATAGATCTGGTTCTCAAATAATTTTCATTTCTCAATTGAGACTTTCTATTAAAATTACTTAACAGAAATCATTAAATTCTTTTTAAATGATATTTATATCACCCGAAGATACAGTTTGGAAGGAATCCAAGACCATATACGCATGAAAAGATTTAACCTGTAATTTCTTAAATTTAAAGGATAAAATTGATACAAAAACTTGTTTGGGGTAAAATTGAAACTATCTTTATAGATGGGGGCCAGTTTTAAGATTTGCCCTATATCATTTCACAAATGGGTGGGTCAATTACAAAGTATTCATACAATCACTTTTTTAAACATTCCCCTTGTATATATAATAACAAGGAAATATTTCAAGATTACAGTTGAAAATTATAAAATATTACTATAATCCAAGATATATTTTTATATTATTAATTTTCCATTGCAATATATATATATATATATATATATATATATATATATAGAACTAAGCTTCGAAGGTCATATTGTGTTTTCACCCTAACACAGAAATCTTTATCATATTACATAGGATTATGTTTGTTTTTTTTAATGCGCAATACAGTTACAAATTTAGTATTGGAATAAATAATTCTAAATTCTTTGACTTAGAGGTGTTTTTGTTATTTATTTTTTTTTGAATAGTAGAATTACTATAACAATGTTGGAGATAGAAACAATGCATCTTGTATGAGGGTTTTTGATCATTTTACATTAGTTTTGTTATATATTTGAAGGTTATTTGGAGGTATTATTAAAATAATTATATATTAAATACTATTAAAAAACCTAAACAAGCACTGATATATGGACAACTTAGATATTATTTAGATAGCGCGTATGAGGTTATTCAATCACCAAATACCACGTTCTAGACAAACATTTTGTAAATCACGGGAATATAATAGTGTAATGTATGTACCTAACACGCTATTGATTTGGTGCTAAAGGTCCTTTTTATCTTTTCCTTGAATTTCATACCACCTTGTGCAAAAATTACAAGCAGCCAACCTTTATAATTTATTTGTTTTACATTTAGTTCATATGCTTTTGATCATTATTTTTTTCTAATAAGCTATGAAATTATAAATATTTTTCAATTTAATTCATATTATTTTTCAATTTATCAATAATATTCAAATTACAATGTTTTCATTTTTAAATATATAAATAATTTATCAAATTACAAATATTTTTTAATTTCATCCCTTGTAGTTTTTTTAATCTTTTCTTTATTCTTGTAATTTCTACTTATTTTTTTTACATCATTTTTAAATTTGTTTTTCAAATTTCATCTTTATTGTGATTTTTTCTATTGAATTTCATCCTCATTATTTTCGTTATTATTTTTGGTTTTTGCAAGTTTTTTTATTGTTATTTGTTTACCAACTTCATCCTTGGCAATTATGTTAGTTGAGAATTAATTTTTTTAATTGAATCCGGGTCCAAGATTTCACGGATTGTGAGTTTTAGAAGTTATACCAGAATTAAAATGTTCACCTAGGTTTACTTGGTTTCCCTCTCTTTTTTTTTAAGGTGATTTTTTAAAAAAAAATTATCATTTTTTTTGTTTTGTTTTGTTTTGTTTTTGTGGTTAGCCTACCATTGTTTTTCAATTTCACCCCTTGATACTTTTTTAATCTCTCAATGATTCATGAAATTACAAATGTGTTTTTCAAAATTTATCTTTCTTGGTTTTTTATCTATTAAATTTTATCTCTATGTTTTTCTTTGCTCCTTTTTTCCCCTATTGCAAGCTTTTTTTAGCAATAATTTTCATCAATTTTATCTTTTAAAATTAAATTGGTTGATGATTGAGTCTTTTTATTTAATTTAGATCTAAGATTTCATGAGATGTGATTTTTAGAGATTATAAAAGATTCAGAAGGTTTGTCTGAGTATTTTTTAAAATATTTTTTTATTTTCATCCTCTTTTTATTTCTGGTTTTGATTTGTTTTTTTTTTGTTTGCCTTCTATTGAGTTGTCCTTATATAATTCTTTTTAATTTAACTCCTTGTATTTTTTTAATTTATAAATAATCTATCAAATTATAAATATTTTTAAATCTTATCTATGTTTAAATCTTTCAAATCTTGTTCTTATTATGTTGATTGCTATCTATTTTATCTATCATTTTTTTTTTTTAATCTCATCTTTCTTGCATCTTTTGTTGTTAAATTTTATCCTTGTTTTTTATAAGGTTTCTTTTTGGTTTTTTGGTATTTTGCTTTGTTTTTGTTTTTCTTGTGGTTTACCATCAATTAAGTTACCATTAGATTGTTTAATAATTTAGATTGTCCCAGGTCTGGTTTTTTCTTCATTTGTTTTATTTTTTTATTAGTTTATTTACTGGTACTGTATTTTTGTTCTTATATTATTTGAATTACTGAACTTAGAACTTGAATTTTTTTTACTCTATCATATTTTTTTACATTGATTTTTCTTTTTCCAGCCCACTTCGAAAAGCATCAAATCTAGCTACTTCTATGTTGATCTTGTAATTTAACCTTCATCGGGTGAGCTTTATTGCCATGCTCAAAATCTAGTTCTGTATCTGATTGAATTGGGTTTGTTTGTACTATCGGAGGCCCAAAGTTAGAGCTTAAGGCCTTATTCCAGGCCTATTCTTATACGCTTGGGCTGGACCCCTGCTCTCTAATGAAGGCCTTCTGCTTGTCTCCGCACCTCTCGTTATCAATCAATCATCAATCAGGGCTGCCAGATAAAGTAACGACTAACGAACGCCAAGTTTAATTACCACATAGCTGTTTGCCACGTGCCAGACACTGACAAGGATTTATCCTAACACGTGTCGCAATTAACTCCTTTCACCCACCTCCTCCTTCCACCGCTTGCCACGTGTCACAACCTTTCCTCGAGAGACATCAAAGATTCAAAATCCTTTCTTGGCCGTCAAAACAGCCACAGAAAAGTGAAAACAAAATAAAAAAAGAAAAAGACCCAAAAGACCCTATCACAAGTGTCTTAAGCGTTAAGCCTAAAAGGAAGGACACGAGCACGTGACCAATCACGTTCCTTCATGGCTCTCCCTTCCCTTATCCGCTCCTCCCCGCTTAAAAAATTATAAACCGTGTTGCCATCCAGAACTTTCACGCGCATTCGCATCCCACCGTCCATCACCACCCTTACAAGAGAAATCTTAGCCATCACCTTTCATCGCGCCTCTATTTCCGCCACGTGTCATATGGACACGTGTCGTTTCATTTACGGTACGAAAAAGGATTGACTTAAATATTATCCTTGCAGTATCTATAAATAAATTCGCCATCCCTTTACGTGGTCTTCATTTCCTACACATTCAAAATTCAACGACTCTCGTTGTAGCTGAAAAGGAAAAAGAAAAAGAAAAGGAGCTTTTTTTTTGGGGTATAGTTTGTACAGAAATGGCAATGAATATAACATTTCAGATCGGAGCTCTAGCTGGAACACCAATCCAAGCAGAATCAATAACAAGTGCAGGCACCGGCAGTGACTCCAGCGCAGCGGCTGCGTGGAAAACTCCAATCCCAAACATCCGATGCCAAATCAGAAAACAGGAAACGATAGAGCAAAAATCACAACCAACAAGCCCTTGCAGGTCTCCAATACTAAGCGGATGTAACGGCATCCGTCCAGATCTATCAGTGGCATGCCGAGCATTCGCGACAGAAACATTGGAATTTATGACATTGGATGAGAGCAAGGCAGCAGAAGAAGAGAAGATGTATAAAGAGGGGAAGACAGAGAAGGAGAAGGGAGTGCCAGTTTATGTGATGATGCCATTGGATAGTGTGACGATGGGGAACACGTTGAATAGAAAGAAAGCAATGAATGCTAGTTTGCAGGCGTTGAAGAGTGCAGGTGTGGAAGGGTTGATGGTGGATGTTTGGTGGGGATTAGTGGAGAGAGATGCGCCTGGTGTGTATAATTGGGGAGGGTATACCGAGCTGTTAGAAATGGCTAAACGACATGGTCTCAAGGTTCAAGCTGTTATGTCGTTTCATCAGTGTGGTGGCAACGTTGGAGATTCTTGCACGTATGTTTTATTTCCTTCTTTTTTACCTTACCTTTTACTTATGAGCGTGAAATACACGCGCCTCTGTTGGCCACATATGTCTAAGCTCGCGTGGGCTGTTGGCTTGGGATCGGTCAGAAAACGTGGAGTTTTCTAGATTCCTTGGCACTTGAAAAAGTACTTTTTCTTTTTTCTTTTTTCATTACCATCCGTGGAAGGTGAATGTAAAATCTGTTTTTGATAGTCCCCTAAGGTGCTTGTATTGGAAGTGTGAATTGGTTTTATAATTACTGGATGCAGGATTCCATTACCCAAATGGGCTGTGGAGGAGATTGATAAAGATCAAGACCTTGCATACACTGATCAGTGGGGAAGGAGGAATTATGAGTATATATCACTTGGATGCGATACCCTTCCAGTTCTCAAGGGGAGGACACCTGTGCAATGTTACTCTGATTTCATGCGGGCCTTTAGGGACAACTTCAAACACCTTCTTGGTGACACCATTGTGGTAATTGCTTAATCACGGCTATTTTTTTTTCAATAGTTATAAATCACGATTGTGTTAAACTGTTTTGGGTTGAATATGATTAGTTTTGATTCTGCTCCGTTACAGCTTTCATTTTTCGAGGGTAATCTGTCTCTGTTGGGTTGCATCTTTGCTTAATTATGCGTGTGGTTTGCTTTGTCATTTCCCTGCATGATAGAGCCCCTTTAGTACTCGAATAATTGATTCTAGTGGTTTGATGTCTTTGCTTGAATAATTTGTCATCAGTGGTAACGAATTGATATTGTCAACAAGTTAGAGCAAATATGTCATAAGCATGTCTTGAAAGAAGTTTGTTGTCTACATTATTTAGAATATGTTCTATTCAGGAAATCCAAGTGGGAATGGGTCCAGCAGGTGAGCTCCGCTATCCTTCATACCCGGAGCAGAATGGAACCTGGAGATTTCCAGGAATCGGAGCTTTCCAATGTTATGACAAGGTATTTACTTTCTTTTTAACTTCTTAAGGGATTAAACCACCAACTTGTAATCTTGTGAATCTTACTTGATATCTGTTACATGATGCAGTATATGTTGAGTAGCTTGAAAGCAGCAGCTGAAGCTGCTGGGAAGCCAGAATGGGGGAGTACAGGCCCTACTGATGCTGGTGAGTACAACAACTGGCCGGAAGACACCCAGTTTTTCAGAAAAGAAGGTGGTGGCTGGACCAGTCCCTACGGTGAATTCTTCCTCACTTGGTACTCTCAGATGCTCTTGGACCATGGTGAGAGAATATTGTCATCAGCAAAGGCAACCTTTGAGAATATTGGTGTAAAGATCTCAGTGAAGATTGCAGGAATTCATTGGCACTATGGAACCCGGTCTCATGCCCCAGAACTCACGGCAGGATATTATAACACAAGATTCAGAGATGGTTACCTTCCTATTGCTCGAATGTTAGCCAGGCATGGTGCTATATTCAATTTCACTTGCATAGAAATGCGTGACCATGAACAGCCACAGGATGCCCTTTGTGCCCCAGAGAGGCTTGTGAGCCAAGGGACTCTAGCAACTCGGGAAGCAGATGTCCCTCTTGCCGGGGAAAATGCACTGCCAAGATTTGATGAGTACGCGCACGAGCAAATTTTGCAAGCATCATCATTGAATATTGATGGAAGTTCAGATGATAAGGAGATGTGTGCGTTTACGTACTTGAGAATGAACCCTCACTTATTCCAGCCAGATAACTGGAGACGCTTTGTGGCATTTGTGAAGAAGATGAAGGAAGGGAAGGGTGCCGACCGGTGTTGGGAGGAGGTTGAGAGGGAAGCTGAGCATTTTGTGCATGTAAGTCGGCCTTTAGTGCAGGAGGCTGCTGTGGCTCTCATGCACTAGGATTTGGCAGACTTCTTGTAACAAGCCACAGAAACAGCAGCCCAAGTACCCTGCTTTAGCCATAGCTGCTTTTCATATGCTATGGCTATAGAAGTGCTCTTAGCACCATAGTAGTTGAGAAAGGGCTGTGAAATGTGCCTTATTGTTCTCATAATGTAGGAACTCTATGGAAACACTTAAATGTTCAATGCAAAGAATTTGTACTTTGTCCTAAACAAAATAATAACATCATGGATGTACCACTTGCTTTCCTTTATTTTGATGAAGTATCACGTCTGGATTGTAATTTTCACTCAACATGGTTAAATTATATGAGTGTTTTTGTTTTTCTGTTTTGAAATTTCTTTATTTATTTTAATTAATATTTTTAATATAATTTTAGATTATTATAATATATTGATATTAAAAATAAGTTTAAAAAAACTTAAATTTTAAATTTAGGTTAGGCAAATAACAAAAAAATTAAATTTTAAATTTAGGTTAGGCAAATAAGTAAATTGAGAAATTTTTTTAAAAAAAATTATCTTGAATTTTTTTAATAATATTCTTTTTAAATTATCTTGAATTTTTTTAATAATATTCTAATTGTATTTAGATGGATTAAGTTAACTAAGTGATATTAATTTATTTTTAAACTGATCTTAATCAAATAATTAAATAAAAAAACTTCAAAATTTATCCATTAATCCAAATTTAACAACAACAGCGAATATTTTTCTATATCCTGAACTTTTTTTTTATGTTATAATTTTTTTTATCCGACCGCTTTCCTTTTAAATCGCCACTCGGAAGATTTTTAGCCTGCCACTTACCTTCACATGATGCATGCAAGCCTCCAGGATTGCAAGGCTGGAAATTTAAGCAAAACAAAATATTTACACATATGCAAGTGAATTATTTTTCAAAAAAATTATATACTATAGAGACAATAACAATGAAAAAAAAAACACCACCAGAGCTTAGAACCATAAAAATACCAACTCAGCCTCGTATATCATAAAAAAATAATACAAATTTCAAGCTCTTGATATTGTTAAGAGGATATATAAACAAATTAATAATATATTTAATAAAACCATCGCAGGCCTAAAAACGAGATGCAGGAATATTCTAAACAAATTAAATGTTTACAAATAAAAGAATTATAAGATTTTAAATATGCATACTCTTATTATCTAATATTTCTTCGTATTTAATGCTTGATTTTCCCTTAATTTCTTGTTTATTTTTTATTATATGAGCAGATGCACTTGTAAATTGAAATTAATCAATATTTTAATACATTTTGTTTGCTTGTACGTAATTTTGTTAAGAAAAGTTGAGATATAACCAGAAATATAAAAAGTAAGGAATTACTCGTAGATAATTTGAAGTTCAAATTGGAATTATTCACGAATCCCACTTCACTCCTGCAATGAGACATGTCACAGGAACACCTTAAATTTATAAAATAAATTTAAAATTATAATAATTTTTTAATTTGAAATATATTAAAATAATATATTTTTTTTATTTTTATATTATTATATCAAATCGATTTAAAAATATAAAAAACAATTTTCAATAAAAAATATTTAATTTTTAAAAAAACATTGTTTCAAAAAAAGCATATTAGCATTTTACTATATTATACTATCCCCTCAGGGACAAATTAAGGGTGCGAAAAATGGAAGGCAGATATGAGATAACCATCCGAAGTGTGAAGATCCGTATTTCTTTCTTCATAGAGGATCATATGGATCAATTGACCGAGCAAACCAGCAGAGGCCCTCAAATTCCGCTTCAAAAGCAGGAAAACCCGCTCTAAGAGAATTATCGCCTCCTCCTCCTCTTTCCTCCGTCACTCTATATATGCACTCACTTCAAGAACAGTGAGTATACAAGCGCAGTACTGATACATTTGAATCCCAGATTAGAAAATCAAGTTTACATATTACCCAAGGAAGTATGTCTAACACGCAGCAAAGCTTCAATGCAGGCCAAACCAAGGGCAACACCCAGGTACGAAAAACACATGAAGCATGCACACAGGGAATAATATTATCAAGGTACGAATATAATTTTGTTAGTTAAATTTGGTGCAGGCTAAGGTAGAACAGTGGACTGAAACCATCCAGGATACAGCAAATGCAGCCTGTAGAGACAGTAGATCAGCTGGGGCTCCGTCAACCGGAGATTCTGCTCAACTAGAGAAGGATCAAAGTGCTGGTTTCCTGCAGCAGGTAACTATATATCTCCTCTCTTAACCCGTAAGCGTGCCTTGTACCCTTTAGGCTTTAGGGTGATTTCAAAGAAATCAATTAATTTTGTTCGCATCTATTTTTCTTCTTGTGTACGCAGACTGGAGAGCAAGTGAAGCATGTGGCCCAGGATGCAATGGACTCTGTGAAGAACACGCTTGGCATGGGTCAGAATAAGAAATGAAAGAATAACCTCTGCTATACATGGTCTGCCGATCAACCGGATTCCGACTTATTGATACGCTGCTGATGCAATAGCTCTTCTTTTTGCATGGACAAGTATAATATTATGTTCCTTTTCCATTTGTCTTGGGACCCCTCTCAGATGTAATAAAATTTATCTCTTCTTTCTTGTTTTTCCTTCAATATTTTCTTATTAAAAGTAGACATCGATGCGATAAAGCAAATGCAAGAATTGTCAGGCAGGTTGATCGTTATTTTTTAATTTAAGCTCTTCTAAGTTACTGTTTGTTTCAATAATATTTTTTTAAAAATTTATATTTTTAAAAATTAATTTTTTTAGTATTTTCAGATATTTTGATATAATAATATTAAAAATAATTTTTTAAAAATATTAATCTAATCTTTTTTGTTAAAACATACATCCAATTGATTCTAATCTCAAAATTATTCACGTGGAAAAAAATAATCAGAACAACAAAATTATTTTATTTTATCTAAATTAAAGAGATTCTAAACTAGATAGTGTGAGTTTAAAATCTGAAAAAGTATCTATAAAAAATTTTTAAATTCATCTCAATGCAAAAAAATTAATATGAAAATTTTTTATTAGATCTGTAAATTGATTCAAAAACAAAATACCTTTTATTGTCAAATAAAAATATCTTAAATGAAGAATAGTATATCACACTAAAGTTAATTTGGGCTCAATTAGATTTTTTTACATTATATCAAACTGATGTAATGAATAAAAATATATAAGGAAAATATAAAATTTTATGGATGAATTTATCATTTAAATAAATATATGGTACTCGATGACAAGTTACCATGTGTTGAGAAAACTAGAAACAAATAACCTGACACCAATCTACCTGAATGAATTCACAATTCACAAGTTTCATTTTTTTTTTTGTGCAATCAAAATTAGGATCAATAATCAACAAATATAAAGCAATAATTATATAAATCAACACCAAGATTTTTACTTGAAAAACCCAATGCGGGAAAAACTACGGGATCGTAGTCTACTTAAAACCTTCCACTGTCAATAAATAATGGATTCACAACTGTTCTTTCTTAGATTCAACTAAGGGCTACAACATAAATAACATCAAGAACAACTTATTCTTGGAATATAACAAGATTAAAGAAGAAGTATTTGAGAAAAACTCACAATACTGACAGCCCCGTTTTCTGTTAAAACGGTCAGCTTCCATACCACCAATTTTCGATCTAAACGTTCAGAATGAAGAGTAACGTATCTGGAAGCGGCTGTCAAAATCTCAACTCGATCTAATGGTGAACGAGATGGGAATTGAATAATGAAGAAAATCAATTCAGCTGTCTTAATTTCCTCTCTTTCTCCTATTTTTCTCTTTGGTAAAAATTGCTACTGCATCTACAGTACATCTATATTTAAATTAAAAGAGGTAGCTCATGACAATTAATATGGTGGTCCCACCATCACACGGTGCGAGACCACACACAATAAATCTCCCCTTCACGCACCATGTGAGGAATTCACCATACTAGCGATCAACATGCAAACTTCAATTTAGAAGGCTCTATTATGCCTGCTTTTTTTTCTCTATAAAATTCAAACTTCTCTCTTAGTAGAGGTTTGGTCATTATGTCTGACACATTGTTATCGGTATGGATCTTCTTAACAATAAATGACTTCATCTCCATAGCATCCCGAATCCATTGATATCTAACCTCAATGTGCTTTGATCGAGAGTGAAAAGTAGGATACTTACTGAGATGGATTGCACTTTAACTATCACAGTGCAACACAAAGTTCTCTTGAACTAGGCCAAGTTCATGTAAGAACTTCTTCATCCATAACAACTCTTTCACTCCTTTAGTAAGAGCAATATATTCAGTCTTTATAATGGATAATACAATATATTTTTACAATCTTCATTACCATGAGACTGCTCCCCCTGCAAACTTCATTAAGCATCCTGATGTGGACTTTCTAGAATCAACATCACCAGCCATATCTGCATCTGTGTATCCATCCAACACAGGTTTATCATTACCAAAACATAAACTGAAACTGGAAGTACCTTTGAGATACCTGAGTATCCATTTCACTGCTGACCAGTGTTCTTTACCAGGATTGGAGAGGAACCGACTAACCACACCAATTGCATGAGCTATATCTGACTTTGTGCAAACTATAACATACATCAAGCTATCAACTGCGAATACATAAGAAACCTTTTTCATCTCATCTCTTTCTTCATCACTTGAAGAACACTGCTTAAAACTTAGTTTAAAGTGGCCTGCAAGTGGAGAATAAACAGGTTTGGAGTTGTTCATATTAAATCTCTCAAGTACCTTTTGAACATATCTCTCCTAAGATAGCCAAAGTTTCTCTTTTTTCCTGTCACATGTGATCTTCATGCCAAGAATCTGTTTTGCTGGTCCTAAGTCTTTCATTACAAAAGACTTGCTCAACTCTTCCTTTAAAATTTGAATCTTCTTAGCATCATAGCTAACAATTAATATATTACATACAACAAGAGAATAATAAAGTTTTTATCTGGAAACCTTTTTATAAACACACAATGATCAGAAGTGGTCCTGTCATAACCATGATCCACCATGAAAGAATCAAACTTCATGTACCATTGTTTTGGAGTTTGCTTTAACCCATCTAGGCTCTTTTTCAACTTACAAACTAACTGCTCTTTACTTTTTGATTCAGACCCTTCAGGCTGTTCCATGCAGATCTCCTCATCTAAATCACCTGAACACCCATAGAGAAAAGCAGTTTTCACATCAAGTTATTTAACTTCAAGATTCAAACTAGCAGCTAAGCAAGCACAACTCAGATTGAAGACATCTTGACCACTAATGAAAAAATTTCTTCAAAATCAATACCCTTCTTCTGTCTAAAACCTTTCACAACCAATTTTGCCTTGTACCTTGGCTGTGAGCAATGTTCATCAATTTTCAACCTGAACACCCATTTGTTCTTGAGTGCTCTCTTACCTTTAAAAAGCTTCACTAACTCAAAAGTATGGTTTTCATACAAGGATTTTATCTCTTCTTGCATTGTTTTCAACAACTCACTTTTCTTTTCATATGACATAGCTTTATCAAAGCATTCTGGCTCTCCCCCATTAGTAACCAACACATACTCATGAGAAGAATATCTAGTAGAAAGTTGGCGAGATCTAGTTGACTTTCTCAATTGTAGCTCATCTAGAGCTTCTTGTATAATCTGTTTATGAATAACATCAATATCATCATTAGTTAATTCAGGATCACCAATTAATAGCTCAATAGAAAAACCACCATTATCATTATTTTGCAAATCTCCCCCATGATTAGCAGGCATCCAATGTAATTATGGAGTAGGTTTTGGATTTAAATTAGAAGAAATAAAAATAACAAACTCTATTTTCTCTTTCTATTCAAAGTCTTTAATGATTTGATCTTTAAAGAAGATAACATCTCTGTTTCTCACAATTTTCTTCTCCTTTGGATCCCACAACCTATAGCCAAACTCATCATTTTCAGAGCCTAAGAAAATGCATTGCTTTGTCTTGCTAACAAGCTTAGACCTTTCATCTCGAGGAACATGTACAAATGTTCTGCATCCAAACACTCTCAAGTGTGCATAAGATACATCCTTTCCTTTCCAAACTTTATCTGGAACATCAATATCAAGAGGGACTGATAGAGAAAGATTGATCAAGACAATTGCAATTTTCATTGCCTCACCCCAAAATGACTTAGGCAGCTTTGCATGAGAGAGGACACATCTACTTCTTTCAATAATGGTCCTGTTCATCCTCTCAGCCACTCCATTCTGCTGTGGAGTCTTAAAAGCTGTCTTCTACAACTTGATATCATGTTCCCTGCAATACTTTTCAAAATGACCCTTATATTCACCACTGTTGTTAGCTCGAATACATTTAAGCTTTCTACCAATTTCTCTTTCAACCCTAGCATGGAAATCCGTAAAGACATCATGTACCTAATCTTTGGATTTCAAACAAGTGACCCAAAATTTCCTGGAGTGATCATCAATAAAACTTACAAAGTACAATGCACTCCTAAGAGACTAATCAATCATAGAACAAACATTAGTATGAACTAAATCAAGAATATATGATCTTTTATGTAAAGGTGATATTTGAAAAGTAACTCTGTGTTGTTTACTAACTAAACAATGAGTACATGTGTTGAAGTTCATACCTTTTAATGGAAGGTAATTCTTCTTGGCAAGGATGCCAATGCCTTTTTCACTCAAATATCCAAGCCTTTTATGCCATATCTCAATATAGCAATCTTCAATTGCATTCACCTCCCCTTTGATTACATTGGCTTGTGACATGTAGAGACACATTTTCTTTCTTTTAGCAACAATTAAGGAATTTCTAAAGAGCTTTCATTTACCATCTCCAAAGTAATTATGATAGCCTTTTTCATCAAGAGTACCTGTAGAGATCAAGTGTAGGCGCATATCAGGCACATGCCTAACATCTTTGAGTAGCAATTTGCACATAATATTGGTTTCTAACCAAATGTCTTCAATGCCCACAACACTAGCCATCCCTTGATTTCTCATCCTACCTTGACCAAAATCACCAATACTATAGGATGAGTAAAAATCATGTTGGGGTGTAACATGGTAAGAAGCTATTGAATCTACAACCCAGATGGTATTTTGACATACAAGATTAACACAATCATCATCACAAATAATGACAACATCATTATCAAATATAACTGCAGTTCTACCATTCTTTTCATTCTTTTCTTTATCTTTTTTATCTCTTTTATACTTTCTACAATCTTTTCGCATATGCCAAAGCTTGTCACAATAATAACATTAAAAACCCTTCCTTGACTGAGATCTTCCTTTAGGTTTCCATTTGTCTTTTCTATTGCTGGATTTTCCATCTTGCTTTTCGTAAGAGAACCTGTTTGGACTTCTTCTTCAACTTTCTATAACAAGTACATGAGACTCAGAAGTGTTTGTCCCTTTTCTTCTCTTTTCTTCATTGAGGATACAATCTTTCACTATTTTCAAAGTGATCTTTCCATTTGGAGTAGAATTGTTAAATGACACCACCAAAGTCTCCCAACTGTCCGACAATAAACTCAATATGTGCTTACATCTCATTGGCTAACTCAAGATTCATCAATGACAGCTGATTCAAGAATCCTTGGAATTCATTTATATGCTCTGAAGCATTTTCACCATCTCTATACTTCAAATTTAAAAGGTCTCTAATTACAAAAATCTTGTTTTGTGCACTCTCTTTAGCAAAGGTTTCTTCCAACATCTTCCAAACTATATAGCAGTCATGTTTTTGAGAAATATGATTAATGGACTTAGAAGATACCCATTTTCTAATATAAGCAGTGTCCTTTCTATTAATCCCATTTCATTTTGCTTCATCCATCTCATCAAGCTTTTTTCCTTTACACTCAAGCGGTAAAGCCAAATCATTGCAATATAAGTGATCCTCTATCATTGTTTTTCATAGAAAATAATTGGAGGAAGTGAGCTTTATCATGCTTGAATCTTCCTTTTCCATTTTAACTGCACAAGAAATTCAATCTACACAACAAGTGCTCTGATACCACTTTGTTGGGAAAACTAAAAACAAATAATCGAATACCAATCTACCCGGATCAATTCATAATTTACAAGTTCTAACTCTTTTTTCTCTTTATGCAATCAAAATTAGGATCAACAATCAACAAATATAAAGCAATAATTATACAAATCAATACCAAGATTTTTACATGAAAAACCCGATGCGGGAAAAACCTTAGGACCGTAGTCCACTTAAAACCTTCCATTATCAACAAATAATAGGTTCACAACTATTCTTTTTTATATTCAACTAAGGGCTACAACATAAATAACATCAAGAACAACTTATTCTTGGAATACAACAAGATTAAAGAAGAAGTATTTAAGAAAAACTCACAATATTGACAGCCCTGTTTTCTATCAAAACGGACAGCTTCCACACCATCAATCTTCGATCCAAAGGTTCAGAACAAAGAGTAAAGTGTCTAGAAGCTGCTATCAAAATCTCAGGCCGATCCAATGGTGAACGAGCTAGGAATCGAAGAATGAAGACAACCAATTCAACTGTCTTAATTTCCTCTCTTTCTTCTATTTTTCTCTTCTTTCTTTGCTAGCAATTGCTACTGCATTTACAATATAACTATATTTAAATTAAAAGAGGCAGCTCATAACAATTAATGTGTTGGTTTCACCATCATATAGTGCGAGACTACACACAACACCATGATACCAGTGACAGATGTAGGGAGGTTGACAGCGACTCTACAAGAAAATTTTTTCTAATTTTTTTTATAAAATAACTAAAATTTTAATTTTTTAAAATAATTTTTTTAATTCAATCCCTCTTAATTTTTTTTCTTGCTCTGTCCTTGCATAATACTGCATATAATAAATCCATAGATGACATGTACTAATGCAATGCTGATCAATCTATTATCTTGTATTTATTATGTTTAGGGAAATTATTAAAGTAATATTTAAAATTATAATAATATTTATATTTTAAGATGTTTTTTATTTAAAAATATATTAAAATATTTTTTTATTTTTTTAAAAAAAATACCTGAATATAAAAATAAATAAATTAAAAAATTATTTTAGTGTCTGAATTGAAGTTCGCCGAAAAAACGACCGTTTGCCAGCTTGGTTCTACAATTTTCTCTTCTCGATCCTCCTCGTTCTTGCCTTGTCTAGCTATGTACACGTGTCTTCACGGTAATGCACCCAAACCAAAACAGAAAAATATCATGATGCCCCTTCCACTATCAAAATCCAAATTAACCGCCGGACCTTTTCTTTCTTTCACCGTCACTCAAAATTAGACACTGGCCAATGGCCATGGCAACTTCTCTCCACCTAAACCACGCATTTTATCACCGTTTCACTCCTACTTCGCATATGAGTAGAAATTTGAACTTTTACCGGCGGTTTTCGTCTTCATTTTCCTGGAAAGCTAGGGTTTTAACTTTGAAGAAGAAGCACTACCGAGGCACCGGACATGGAGTTTTCTCGTCGAGTATTATTAAAGCGAACAATACAAATAATACGGAGATTGACGAGGTTTCCGTTCAAGAAGAGAAAGAGAACGAGATGGAACGGCCTCCTTTTGATATCAATCTAGCTGTAGTTCTTGCTGGCTTCGCTTTCGAAGCCTACACTAGCCTTCCTGTAATTAATACTTAATTCATTTTTAATTTCAATTTTTAAGTCTTAATTGAATATAAAAGTTTCCGCAAAATCACATGAAATAAAAAAGAATTTGAAATTCAATAGGCACTCGTTTTGCTCTCTTGCTATCCAGGGTAACAAAACCAGAGTAATTTGATGTTCATTTGGTGTGTTTGTTTTGTTTTAATCAGGAAAACGTAGGGAAGCGCGAGATTGATGCTGCAGATTGTAAGACTGTGTATCTTTCAGAGTATGTGATCATCTGTTTTTAGTAATACTAGAGGCTTAAACATTCATTACTTGTTCTCTTTGTTGTTGCAGAGAAGATGCATCTTGCTATTATGTCTAGCCAGACCTTTTTTTTCTTGAAATTATTTTAGCAGCAAATAATGGAATCAACTAGAATACTATTTTTTTTCTTGAAATCTGATTGATATGTTTGCAGGTCATTTGTACGCGAGATATATGATGGCCAGTTGTTCATAAAATTGAAAAAGGGCTTTGATTTGCCAGCCATGGATCCATGGGTGCGTCGTTGAATTTATCCTTTTTGAATTGAGAAATAGGATTTATGTGCAAGTTTTTATGCTTGCCTACATGGAAAGCATCTGCAACTGGAAACACACAAGCACAGCCCTAACCAGTTGGTGTTTTCTGTTGGTTCCCCCCTCCCTTGAATTCAAGGTTTATATGTAGTAACCGACAAAGTCACATTCTGATTTTCATAAATACAGCTATACTCATCAAACTGCGGGTGTATTTCCAGGGAACAAGTGATCCTTATGTGGTTATGGAACTGGATGGTCAGGTTGTCAAAAGCAAGGTCAAATGGGGGTAAGCTATTGATATTTCCATATCTCTCTCTCATACACAAACTGAATCTTAAGGCTGAATCTTTATCCTTCTCAAAATTGTCATTATGTTGAAAATTTTATGCACTTTATAGCATATGCTTTCTTCTTTCTCCGTTCAACTAAGCAATTGGAGTTGGAGCTCCTTTGTTTAAGATCAGGCAGTAATTAGTATAAATTACAACTTTTCATAGCAGCATTCATGGGGATGTGAGATTCTAAGGGAACTGAGAATGAATGATAAATTTCATTAACTCTGCAGGAAATATTTGAAAGGAAACATTTACCTGAATTTCGTTTAATGCTCTTATTTTATTAGAAATCCTGCTCTGAAGTGTAAAGCTAGAAAATTTTTTCATATGGTGTATGCCCCATTTTCTATATTTTCTTCCAGTTTTACTTCATCTTCATGAACCCTGCTTTGTTTGCTTAAAATTGCTAGGAGTTTCAATCCAATTTGATTTTTATTTCTTTTAATGCACTTGTTTTAATTTTTGGTGTCCGGAATTTGTTGCTGAGATGAATGGGAGAGTAGTTCTAGTGTTTACTACCCCTATCTGCCATTGTTTTGAATTTTCATCAACCTCTGGTACCACTTGCATCTTGAAAATTTTTTATGCCTTACTGCATCCTGTAATCACAATCTCCTCTGGAAAAGAAACGCAGTTTACCGAGGTAAATGACAGATTGGTGTTAGCCTCACAATCCTATTGCCTTTTTTCTTCAAAAGTTTGGTCAATCCTTGATTTTTCACATTTAAATGGCTTTTTGTTCCTTACTTAATGTAGCTATGTCCTCTCCACTGGAGAAGGAACACAGAGAAATGTGGTTCTAGGTGGTACTATATTTGCTATTATGGTCTGCTAGAGTGATAGCCATTGCTTATATCGAGTTTTGTGAGGATGCTTGTGCTAGGACTGCAGAATAGTCTTATGGACTGGAAATCTTACAAGTTTGCTCTTGAACTATTAACAATTTAAAAACAATTTGATACAAGTAATCAGTCAATGATGGCAGGAAAAAGAAGCCAACTTGGAACGAGGACTTCACCGTTAACATTAAGCTGCCTCCAACCAAAAATCTTCAGGTAAATTCTTGTTCCTTCTGAATTTATAAGTTTGTTTCTCATTTGGCAGTCTGCTGGGGGCACATTTCAAGTTCCTATACCCTTTTTATCATTCTTTCTAGCTGCTGTTTTGACTTAAGTACAGAAATGAGCAAATTCCAATAGCATACTTGTCTAAAAAATTCTAATGCTTATTATAGTCACTGTGAAAGTGGGCATGGATATCCCTTACAAGTTTCTGAATTTACACAAAAAATCATCTCTAGATTCCTATAAGAAAGGAAAATATGACAATTGGAGTGGAAGGAGAGGAACAACCCAACATTTAAAGGGTCAAGCTTATGGATCAAGGACCAGTGCTTTTAAATTGAGATCTCATTTTTTACTTGTTAGTTTGTTTTTTAATTATTCGACTTATTTTTCACCTGTCTCAAATGAGAGAGTTTTCTTTATTAATTTTACGTTTTTCCCCCCTCTTCTATACTACCCATGTACCAGTGTTGCTTCCTTTCTGCTGTTTAATAATTATATTTTAGTTATTGAAAGAAATCTGTCCTTTAGTAATTCTCATTCATTCTAAATCTAAAATCTTTGACCATTTATTGTCCCTAACTAAAAGTTAATGCTTCCAGTACTACAATTTATATTACTGGCACCTCAACTTTTTTTTGCAGTTAAATACTAATCTCTACCATCTATACATCTACATAGTTTGAAGAAATGGCTCTACAACGTGTCTGATATCTCTTAAACTAATTTTCTCTTCTGTGTGAATGTAAAGACTGGCTTCTAGATCTAGGATGTACTTCACATTGTATTGTTGTGGATGTGAGGCCTGTTACTTGTTCAGGATGGCTTAGAAAGGATTGCTGTATTCAAAGCGCAATCATCTTCGGGGAAACATTCTCTGTATAATTGACACAGTTATAATTAGTTAGAAAGTATATGGTATCATTGTTTAAATTTTGCCCAAATGGTCAGGTGCATGCAGTATTGAATGGGTTCTCCTTTTGCTTATATAGTTAATGTTCTCCAGTGGCTTTCATCACTCACCAGAGGGCTTAAAGGTGCCTGTACATTTGTTGCCCTTCCAGCCAATTATGACTTGGCATTGAACTTTAAATTTACCTTCTCACGTACATCTATCAACATGCCTTACAGTCATAATCATGCTGGACTAACCAGACTGGATCATCCTTGTTTGGGGTATTCTTTTTAAATAACTGGTTTGCTGGATCTCTTTGTTCCAGTAGGGTATGCTATTAAGGATTGTGCCTTATGATTAATTATCTCCATTAATTATCATACCTTATTCCTGTTTTTAGTCTGCTACCTCCACTACTAGTTTGGTATTAATGACATTTTTGGTGATGATTTTGTTCAAACCAATTAGGACTGAAGTATCTTGTGCAATACAAGTACATGATCCGAGGCATACAATTGAAGGATGTGCTCAGCATAGGAAGTTGTCATTTTTATATTTAGTTGCAACTCACAAGTAATTCTTTGGAGTGTGTTTTTGAGCTTCAGATTGCAGCTTGGGATGCAAACCTTGTAACTCCACACAAGCGCATGGGGAACACAAGCATTGGTCTGGAAAGCCTCTGTGACGGTGAGGATTCAATAAAACTTGTGCATGCACTGAACTGTTTGGGAAAAGGTGTCAGGCTTTTCATTATACTTGGATCGGTGATTTTCTGCAAGTAAAATTTTAATAATAATTAGAATGACTTTTTTGTTGTTAGATTGATGATTGCACTTACTAAAAGGTATTTCATTGCATGAAGTGAAGTGTGCTAGTTTAATTCCATAAGTACAAGTTCATTCGATGTGTATGAAAGCAGTAAGCAGATGAAGTTTGGATATATGGATTGCATACCTTTTTCTACAAAAATTATTAAATGGCGTGTGCCTGTCCAGGAAATTTGCATGAGGTGGTGGTTGAACTGGAAGGGATGGGTGGTGGCGGAAAGTTGCAGTTGGAGGTAAGTTCTTGCAGTGAAAGAAAATTTTAAGTGCGGTTTAAATCTTCAAGGAATTGTATGAAATTCCCCCCTGTTGAGTCTGTCATTTGTCTTCCACCTTGACATGGCTGGCTCATCAAGCTTTGGTTTAAATTTAAGACAATTAGCAGTGGAAAAATTCATGCAGGCATGACAACTTATTTCACCTAATACTGATGTTATTGGGAAATTTAACATGTTTTTAGTATTTTTAAAAAATAATAGGATTATCGCATAACTTATTTGGTTTGTGGCTGCATGTAAGAGTTCCAGTGTCCTTATGAAAGGAACTCCTGGAAATATGCATCTTTGGGTCCCAGGCGTTGCTTTTTAGTCAATGAGTTATGAGACTGGTGGTCTTTAGTTCTAAACATATCAGCTTTTCACATCCTAAACATTTTGATCTGGCTCAAACAACTATCAGCTTATTGATGCACTGAGTCTGATGACATCAGTGTGCTCAACTATACTAAATTTTAAAGCATCACTTCTGGAATCACGTTCTGAATTTGAATTTCAATGCGGAAGTGCCAAGAGAATTGGGATAGAAATATTTTCCCTTTTTTCAGAGTTTGTTCATGTTGCCATCTACCATTGCATCTTTGTTTGATGGGAATTTCCCTAACATGGGTCAATGCAAGGAAGTTTTTGAATATCTAAGCCAAAAGACTCTGTATGATGTTTTTCAGTTAATTGGGTATTGAAAATGGATTTTACTTATCCGACATCATGAAGGACTATGATTATAGTGATTTAAGCTCATGTCCAAACATGGGACCAACATAAGAATCATCATGGAATTTTTCAATAGGCTGGAGTACTTTAGCCTCCTTTCAGCTATATTATACATGAACTGCACTTCAATGTGTATTATGTGGGAAAAAAATGCTTTTATATTGCTGCTTGATATATCATAAAAACACAATTCTTTGGAATCTGCATGCTCTTAAGAGTATAAAACACCTCTTCCTGCTGCTAATTTTTTTTTCTTTCATATTTCTTCCTCTTTTGACTTTGATAATACCATTTCTTATTTAATGCATGGTGTTTCAACGTGGATAAAGGAGTGTCTACCTTAAAAGTGTACAACCATTCTATGTGATGCTAGGAGGTCCACCAAGTTCAGGGTAATAATGCTGCCTGTTTTGTTTCATTTCCCATTAAGTTTACATTTTATTTTTTACTTTTCTTTCTTTCGATTTATAATTTCTGTCTGGGTGTTGCCATTTGGTTAAAATGTCATCTCTTGTTCTCCTTCAAGTTGTTCTTTGATTTCCATCCTATCGTTACATCGTATGTCTGGGACCTTAGCTAATTTATTCACCTGATAATTTTGCAGAAAATATGTCAAACATGATAGGAAGGCATTGGAATAGATGAGGTCCTTAAAAAGGAAATAAAGTCCTTAAAGGGGAAAAAGAAAAACAATGTACGGCAAAAGGGCACTAACTAAATCGACGTTTGGTTAAACAGTGGAGGTAAATCCTTCGGATGAAGGCATATTGAACAAACAGGCATTTCTGGGTTGCAAGTTTCTCTGAAATCTAATGTTCGACGAGTGCCGTTGATATGACCACTGTTGTGTTTTTTTTTTCCTCAACTCAGTTTTATGGAAGATGGATTTAATGAGAAGTTAATCAGTGTGAAGGTTGTTGCAAGCTTAAAAAAGGCCTTATGGATTGTGAGCAATATCTGCAAGCTTGGTCGTAAAGGTCTAGAAAGAGTATAATAGAAGGTATCGTAGACATTAAAAAATGGAAGAGTGAAAACAGTATAACAAGAGTAAAGACTGATGCTCTTTGAAATGATGTGTTGTTAGACTTGGGTTGGTTTTGTTATTAATCCTTGCTGGCTTTTCCCATCAAGTCTTGGTAAACCAATGGGTTTATGTACACCAAAGTCCCAAATTGTATTAACATTCCAGTCTTTCAGCATTTATTTTGTGTGGGTAATGGTTTATGTTTGCTCATGCTGTGTTCTGTAATTGATCAGATTTTGTGTGGTCAAAACCTAGTCAACTGAAAATGGCTCCATGTGGTAGCTGGGTATCAACACACTCATGTTTGTTAATCTTGATGCTCTTGGTAGGTTAGACCAGTAATATCATGATTTGGCCTGTTATAGTTTCTTAAATTAGAGTGTCTTGCAACATAACTTCTCAATCTTTTTTTGAGGCATTAAATCACTGTTTAAGCTATTTCTTTGAATCAAGTATACAGGATTGTCCCACATGCATTTGAGAGGCTTTTAAACTTTCTTTCAGTGAATCTTTTGGTTGACATAGATATATGGATCATTACTTCGGGTAAGGTGTTGGTTTCTCTTTGAGCAACTAGGACAGCTCAAATAAAGTCTGCATAATTTGCAAATGCAAGATTTTTGTTGAACTTCTCTTTCTTTTTTCTTAATCACTGGAGGTTCTTGGCATGTCACTTTTCTTCCAAGATTTTTTTTTTTATGGATTTAATGCATTGGTATATTTGGGGATATTCTTTACTGCAAGGCCTGCTTTCTGCATGTAATTCTAGTAATTGATGGTTATTGCTGATGCAGACTGCCAGTCACTTGTATAATGACGATGCAGTTCAACTGTCACTAGAAAGAAACTTTTAGTCAACTAGTTTAATAGTGAAATACTTCATTGTATTCAATGTTGTAATGTGGTACTCAAGATAGTTGTTACGTATCGCAATATGTTGATTTCTTCTTTGTATATTTTCTTGGGTTTTGCTGTGAGACAATTTCCAATATATTTGGAGTTGGGTTAGCAGCTCGCATCTTTTTCCCATTCTTGCTTGTTCTTCTTTTGTTTCTCTTCTTTTTTTAGTTTTCCATTTTAAAATCCAAATCTTGAAAGAATTTCTTGAGTCACAGAAACATTGTTGACAGTTCTGCAATAAATAAATAAACAAAACAAATGAAACAGTCAGGTAGCTTTTCTGTACTGTTTCTCCTTATTGGCAGCCTATCATTGGTTATTAAGGTTGGTTAATAAACAAAACAAATGAAACATTGTTGACGTAGATTAATGCTTTTAAGTCGTGTCAAGACTTCTCTCCTGTACCAAAATTTCTCAGGTTTAAGTCAATAAAATTCCTTTTCTTCTTGTTTTTTCTTGAGCTTTATAGTTGCACTTGTTAATGTGTATTCCATCTACTGCCAAGATGGACTTTTTGGTTGTTGTTGAATTTGTACCCCTTACGCTTGCTACTTGTAAGGTTTCAGGTTAAATACAAAACTTTTGATGAAATTGATGAAGAAAAAAGGCCATGGAGGCTCCCCTTTGTGTCAGATTTTCTTCGCAAAAATGGTTTTGAATCAGCTCTAAAAATGGTTGTTGGCTCAGAAACCATGCCAGCACGTCAGTTTGTAGAATATGCTTTTGGACAGTTGAAGTCATTTAATGTTCCATATGTTTGGACGGATCAAGTTTCAAACAGTAAGGACTTGGGTGCAGCAAATTCTAACTACTCTGTTGTGTCGGACATGCCTTTGCCTTCAGAAACAAAGAGTAGCACAGAAGTCCCTGTGTGTGACACGAACCGTGATGGAGACAGTAACTTAGTATTATCCCAAGGTGATAATGACTGCTTACGTAATTTGGGTGCCACAGAAGCTGGGGAAGCTATGCAATCAGATAAACAATTTTGGAAGAACTTTGCTGATGTTATCAGCCAAACTGTTGCTCAGAAACTTGGTTTCTCTGTTTCTCTGGAATTAAAGTGGGATGAATTTGACTTATTGAACAGAATTGGTTTGCAGTCACAAAAGATTGCCGAAGCGGGTTATGTTGAGTCAGGGCTTGCAACTCCAGAGGGTCAGAAGGTGGACAGTGATAAAGCAAGTGCCCCACTTACCATAAGCAAGATTCAATCTTCACTTCCAGAAATAAAGAAGGTGACACAGGATTTGTTAAGGCAAACTGATTCTGTTCTGGGAGCATGGATGGTTTTGACTACTGCTGTTTCTAAATTAAATAAGGAAGAAAATGTTTCAGGAAAGAGCTCTTCTGATAGTGAGAAGCTAATTAGCTCTTCGAATGGAACTGCATTGGAAGACAAGAAATCTGAGGAAATGAGAGTGCTCTTTTCTACTGCTGAAAGTGCTATGGAGGCTTGGGCAATGCTTGCTACTTCACTGGGCCATTCAAGTTTTATCAAGTCTGAATTTGAGAAGATATGCTTTCTAGACAATTCATCCACAGATACACAGGTGATATTTTTATATTGTTGATACAAGTCATCTTCTTTGTGATAATCTTGTGATTCATTATTTGTGATGAAACACCATATGGTTACATTTCATTTATCACTAAGTTGTTGGAAAGTGCAGGTGGCAATTTGGCGTGACAATGCAAGGAAAAGATTAGTTGTTGCTTTCAGGGGCACAGAACAAGTATGTTAAATTTAATACTTCTCTAAGTGCTGTTGGGTCATCTAGCTTTCTATTTAAATTGCTTATTTTTGTTATTTTCTTCAGGTCAGATGGAAGGATTTGCGAACTGATTTAATGGTAGTTCCTACAGGGTAATGTCAAATACCTACGCATATCATGCCTTGTTCATACACATACCCAGAGAAAATGCATGGATTTGTTTGGTTCACTTTGGTAATCCTTTCTGGTCAGTTCGTTTGTACGTGTAACTTATGTTGCAGTTGCATTTTGTGAGAATAGTGTACTGCATTTATTTGGTGGACATGGATCTGTGCATGTGATGAATCCCAGCAAAATTTCTTTTACTTTTAAAAGAAAGAGACATTGGGAATGGGAGAGTGAGTGAAAAATGACGAAGTGATTGCATAGTAATTCCATGACTAAATGGTGCATACTTCTATTGTATTTCCTCACTGCATAATCAAATTCAATTAGCTAGTCGCATTTTATTGAAGCATTTTTTATTTTTTATTTTTAAATCTTGTAATGTGACTATATCATCTGTAAGCCTCTAGAATTGATTTGCGTGAACTATGTTTCTTTATCATTCCTCAATTTATTTATCATTATTATACATAAGTTCTATGCTAACTATCATTCTGCTTCTGTAGGCTAAATCCTGAAAGGATTGGTGGAGATTTTAAACAAGAAGTTCAGGTACGCAAATGATAGGTATATTTGATAATTATTCGGAATACATCCAGTAATATGTGCAATTTCTCTCTTACTACTGTCAATGATTATGATGTACTTGATTGTGCTACAAATTTTTCAGGTTCATAGTGGTTTTTTAAGTGCTTATGATTCAGTCAGGATACGAATCATCTCTATCATTAAACTATTAATTAGCTACGTGTAAGTTGTGCTTTTAATCCTGTTCAACTATCTCATGCTTCTCTTTTAAAATCCTAAAGAATCTTCAAGGGCAACAACCAGTGTTATGACATGCTTAAGATATGAGTGCATACACATTTTTAATAACAAATATAGGCTAACTAAACTTATTCCTTTGTTTTAGTCATTTAGTGTTGGTTTCACTAGGTCCTTTTGCTAATTAATATAGTCCATATGTGGCTGGTGTGGATTTTTTTCTAAAGTGAACTTTCTGGGATTCTTGCCATCGGGGATGCATTAGCGCACAAGTTCATGCATCTTTATATGTGCATTTAACTGTATTTTCAAGTCATATATTTTTTGGCTTGTGCACTATTAAATTATAAATGAATAGGTGATGCTTTTTAATATGCTTGTATGATTAAAAACTTAAACATTTAATCTCAAATACATTCTTGACATTTTGTACCTTCTACCTCATAAATGAATTGATTTTCATTCTTCTTGTCTTGAAATTTGGTTCAAATTTTTGCGATATTTGTGTCTTGCATCTGTGAGATAATGTTTGCAGATCTATCATCTGGTAGTCACTAGCTGTTATTTTTTTCCCATTACATTCAAATCAGAGTAATGTTTAAAATAACTTTGCAAATTTCTATAGATTTGTTCTTTGAAATGTTAAATCATTGTTGACAGAGATAATGGAGCTGAGCCACCATGTAAATGGCATGTGTATGTAACTGGTCATAGTTTGGGTGGTGCATTGGCTACCCTGCTTGCTCTTGAGCTTTCATCGAGTCAACTAGTAAAGTAAGTTCATCCTTCTTTTACTTACTAGTGCCTGGTGAGTCCATTGCATTTGCACGTGGGCTCTTTTGACAGATTATGCAATTACGCATTGAATTCTATTTTTGTTTGTGTTTTAGGCGTGGTGTGATTTCTGTGACTATGTATAACTTTGGATCTCCTAGAGTTGGTAACAAAAAGTTTGCAGAAGTTTATAATCAGGTAACTGTAAATTTTTAATTGTAGCTAAAATTGTTTTCAAACACAAGAAATTTCTTTTATGGGTGGGTTGCAATTCTCCCTTTTCCTGTTGGCACAACTTAAAGTCAAATCATGATTGGGGTGCACTTTTTCTCATATAATTTACATGTGGGTATATTGCTTGCTTGCTTGTTCTCGACACTAGCTCACATTTCTTAAAAGCTGCAACTGGTTCCTTTTTTCAAATTTTGTTTTTCTGGATTTCTTTGTTCAATTAGAAATATTTACTACAGATTGGTCTTTGGTGCACGTCTTTCCTTTTGTTCTCTGCTTTTATGAAAGGATATGTATTTTTTTTATCATCTTTTCATATTCCTGTAATTTCATTGCATATTGAAAAGGAAACTGTATTTTCTTATTTCACATCAATTTTTTGCCACTGTGCATGTGGGGAATGGGCTGAATTGATATAAGATGTTCTGGGGTCTCAATAACTTGTAAAAAGTAAGTCCATGATTACTGACTCCATAACAGCGATGAATGGAGGAGACAGATCCATGTAGGGACCCTAATAGATTGGAATTGAGACTTAGTTGAGTTAATATTGATCTTCTGGCAACTAGTACATGAAGATGTTTTTGTTTTTGTTTAAAACTACAGCAAAATTATAGGAAAACCCGAGAAGAATGTTGGACTTCAAGTATAGCTGGTTTCTATAAGATATCTTTACTATCCTGTGACTGTGAGCTCCCATGATACAGTGCATAGATCTCATGACAAGTACTGTAGGTTTTAACTTACTAATGGTCTGGGGTAAGTTTTATGAATCTCCCTTCAGTTCAAAGAAATTGCATGGATCTCCTCTCTAGCTCCAAAAAAATCACAAGTAGAAAAATGTGCAAGTGGCTTCAACGTCCCCTTTGATGCATCTCATGACTTGGTTTAATTGTCAAGATACTTGTCCATAAGGTTATCGTGTCATATCTGACATTCAACGGTGGTCTTTCAATTTTCTCAACTACAAGAGAGCTCTGTGAAATGTACCTTATGTTTACTTCTAGTATTTTTCTCATTCTTCTTCTTTTTTTTCAGAGTCACTATTCTTACCGAGTTTTTCTCGACTTGGTATCTATAGCCTTAATTGATGAGGCTCATCACTTTATATGTCTCCCTTATTTGTTTTTCTGGGACGCTTTTAAAAGAAAAACCTTCTCATCTCATTGATGAGAACTGGCCCTACTGTTTGGTTTCTTACTCTCTCAATGTTATGAGTCTGCTTCAGTTTAAACTCAATGCCCATACATGTTTAATTTCTTCACCCAATTGCTTCTCATTCATCTGGTAGGTTGCATTGATGCGGACTGGCCCTGCTTCTTCTTGGTTTCTTACTCTCTTAATGTTATTAGTCTGCTTCAGTTTAAACTCAATGCACATACGTGTTTAATTTTTTCACCCAATTTCTTATCTGATAGAAATCCCTTCCCTTGCTTTTATATTTTCTGCATTTAAGCTGGGCAAAAATGATGCATTGCTGGCTGTCATTCATACCCTTTGGCTCTCATGGTCTGGGGCATAATACTTGTGTGCTCATGATGTTTGGGAAAGTGTGAAACATATACATATGCGACATTGATACATGATGTGTGTGTAAGAAGAGTGTACTAATAAAGATGTCCTTTTACTCCTGTTTTTTTTTCTTGGACACGAAAAAACTGTGGTTAGTGTTTGAACTGTTCATGCTTACATTTGCAGAAAGTTAAAGATAGCTGGAGGGTTGTGAACCACAGAGACATTGTTCCTACTGTTCCTCGCTTGATGGGTTATTGCCATGTGGCTCAACCTGTGTATCTAGCAACTGGAGAACTAGAAGATGCTTTGGTGGGTAATTTTTTTTTTTTTTTAACACTTTACCTGAAATCATATGGAAGTTGCTGCATGCTGTGAAATTAACCTTTGGTCTCTGGATATGCATTTTATATATGCTATAGTGTGTTATCTTCCATAATGGAATAGATGGCATCCTCTTTAAATTCAAGATTTGTCTTTTGAATTCAAATTCCTGTCATTGGACCTAATTCATCTCATAACACTGAATTTGTCACAGATATACTAATTTGAGTTTTCAGTGACCCAATTTCCCTTCCTTGCTTGAGAACTTTCTGCAGCTTTACCATTGCTGTTGCCCAACAGGCATTCCTTAGAAAACTGCACATTGATTGCTTCAGGCATGCAAGGGAAGCTGAATTACTGCATTCCTTTGAAACCTACACTTTGATTGCTTCAGGCGGACATTTATTTTCTTTGGAGAATTTATGCATCACAAGAAAATCTTTACATTCATATTTCTTTTTCTTTAGCTTCTTGTTATTGTTTTTGAAATGACCTTATCCCTCTGTATTATCTGATCTTTCATAATTTAGCTCAAGTGGAATTAGTGAATTTGCATGTTTGATGTATTTGATTAAAATTGTAGTTTGTCCATCAACTCTTATTGTATACTCCTTTGTAAGTTATTCTTCACAACTGATACAAAAGGTCAAGACTCAAAACTCTCCAACTGACTCACAGGTAGAGTTCTTAATTTTTTTTTTAAAAAAAAGAAAGAAGCAAATATAGATGAAAGATATCCATGTAGTTGACAATACTAACTCTTCGACTGTGGTTGACATTACATATGGAAGGGATGTTACGAACACATGACATTTTCCATTATTGATTATTTTTCTTTTAAGAATTAGATTATGAGCAGCGCTATGTATGAGTTTAACATGTGTTGTTCAGGTAAATTTGGAGCTTTTGAAAGATGGCTACCAAGGTGATTTCATTGGGGAGTCCACACCAGATGTTGTTGTCAGTGAATTTGTATGTTTCTTGTTCTTAATCCTGCTCCATTTTTTTGCTCCACATCTTAATCATTTGTATGGTTGACCCAGATGCGAAGATGTAAGAAACCGAAATCTACCTAACTCATATTAACAAAGAGAAACTGGTTGCTGTGATAGCCTACAAAAATTTATATGTTAGTTATAGTATTTTGGCTATTAATTCTACCTCTCTAATTAGTTTGTACATGCAGTTTAATCCAAATTAATGGTCCCTTCTATATTGTTTGAATGCAAGATAGTGGATCCCAAATTGATCCAGTGGTTCCTAAACTGACTATTCATTAGCAAAAAGGTTCCCAGGGCATGTTGAGAGGAAGAATATATGTTTTCAATATTGATGAAAGAGTTTTAGGATCTTGTTAGAACAGTGATAATAATAATAATAATAATAAGAGTTGTTTTTCAAACAACGTCCATGGAGGCAGCATTTGGTTTCTCATTTTTATAGTCTGAAATGCCGATATGGTTAGTGAGCATTGGCTGTGACTATTTTGAGCAGATGAAAGGTGAGAAGGAGCTCATTGAGAAAATACTGCAGACTGAAATAAATATATTCCGCTCAATTCGAGATGGAAGTGGGCTTATGCAGCATATGGAGGATTTCTATTACATCACACTGCTTGAGGTACATATCATTTTGTCAAATGATTATTTTCATCCAGTTGATTAGAGTAAATAATATATTTGATTTCCTTGATGGTTACATGTGGTAAATGCGGCCAACTAATTCTCTCTCCTTATTAAAAGTTGAACGTACTGTGCCCCTAAAAGCTTTTACACAGGCAGTAGCTATAATCCTCCAAATATTCAGTATGACATTGTTGGAGTGATTCACTCTTTAGTCTTTTGTCCATCTATTAAACTGCTAGTGTTAAGTATTCCCACAGGCTCTGCATAATTACCAGTCTCCATGCTTGCTCAGATATTCATCTGTTTATGTTTTACTTTTCCAGAACGTGAGATCAAACTACCAGCCTCTTGAAAGGGTAGAAAGCAGTGGGAGAGATAGCATCCCAACCAGCCAAGATGGCAGTAACATCTGAACGCTAGCAGCCAAAGTATAATCAGTGCCGAAATAATTCTTCGGCAGATATCGGTCATTGTGTCTGTATGCATCATTGAGCAGTCTGCTAGTCTTATGGGAAACCCATCAAAAGAATACAGGGACAGACTTAATCCGGGGTGGGGTAGGGAATAATGTACCTGTACAGCAAAGCTTTATTTCAAATTCAAATCACATTTTCATGACAACCTATCTGATTGGATGTTGTGCATCTGAACATCAAAATACTATTCAGCAACAACTTCATTTTTCCTGGTTTACCTCCAAATTCTTTGATCGTCCTTTCATCGAGGCTAATCCCCAGCTGGAGGTCCTAAACAAAATGAAGTCTATTGGCCAATTGAAGAGGAGGATGGTTGGCCATCCTTTGTCTTTATATTTGAAAAATATTTTAAAAGAAAATTATTTTTTTTAATTTTTTCTTTACTTTTTAAAATTATTTTGATAAGGCAGTGTTAAAAATAATTTTAAAAACAAATAAAAAAATATTTTTATAAGTAAATATTTTGAAAAATAATTACCACTATATTTCTAAGCACTTCCGTACTAGTGCAAAGTTTGGTCGGTCTTTGCTTGGGTTGACTTAATAAAATTACAGTCTTTCAATATTCGACTATATGTTTTTACTAGCAAAGCTAGTTATGCTTTTCTAGCCTGCTTCGAAAGCGCTGACTTGGGTTTGCTAAGAGAGAAGCTGGATGCCTTCCTACTGCTCATGATCTTCAAGCTTTGCCGCAGAATATCGACCTCTCTTGCCCTGCTGTATTCTTCATTCTCCACAAAAACTAATCGTGCTTTCAGCTCCTCAATACATCCCTCCTTGGCCTTCACTTCCATCTTTAGCTCCTCAATCATTTCTTCCTCTGCTCCCCGGTACAATCCATCTCCTGCAAAACCGAGTTGCAGCCAGAAATTAGTGTCATTCATTGATTATAATTTTTGTACTGTCGTAGTTTCTTAATGAGTATACTAGCACGATTAATTGACCAAAGAAGAGTACAACTCCCTGTCGTGGTGGTCTGTAATCTTGGATTTCGTTTCCACATATTTATGGATAGCAAAAGAAAATGTTCGACTTCTTTTTTCGAAAAAGGAAGTCCCGTAAGTTTTATCACAGTGACGTGCTAAAACAGTAACTACTTTATAAGTGAAAAGATGCCAGCCACTTGTCACCACATATACACAGTAATACTTTATCATCAAGAGAATCAAAAACATAAAATTGGGCCCATTGCTGGAAAACTCCAATCAACTTTTTAGGATATTTGACAAAAGGAACTGGTGGAGCATGCCAATTCTAGCAGCGTATGCTTTGCGCAAAACTCCCAGGTTTCTGCTACATTGAACGATAAAACTAGCATATTTGAAAGAAATTGCATAAAAGCACAAATAACTAGCATGTGAACATGCGCTAGATGTAGAGTGAGCTTAGGAAGAGGATATAGCTCACCCCCTCGAGAATCAAGCTTAAGACAACATGACATGAAATATAGGGAATCTAGAGGGTTTGTCAATGTCTGTGAATCTCCAAGATTTGCACAGTGCATGCAATCGAGCAAAGGCTGCCTAAAATGCCAGCATCGACATAAATTTAATTTAAATAAAGTAGGAAAACCCATCGTTAAATTTAAATCTAATAGTCTAATGACGGTAATTGACATAAATTCTTAAATCACTGGATTCAAATGAAACTGTAAAATTGATCGTTAAATCAAAATCCAGCAGTGTAAATAGACATCGAAAAACACCGACGCCGATGCAATGATATATGTGCATGAGCAAGCGTGCGTGTGTGTGAGTGTGCGTGCGTGCGAGTCCGGAAGAGGAGAGAGATGCACCACGGTGAGTCCTCTGAATGAGATTATCAAGCTCGGTCTTGATGGCAAGGTAAAGCTTCTTCCACTTATCCACAGCCTCGTCGCGCCACATTCTCTCCTCCCTCATTTGCTCCACCAGGAAGCTGGGAGTCCCCAAGAATTCTCCATTTTTCTCACTTTTCTCTCCTACCGACCTATCCTCCATTACCCTGATCCTCTCATCTTTCTCTTCCACTGCCTTTCTCAATCTCTCTAGTTCCTCTTTGAGCTTCTTCCTCTCTTGCTTCCACTCTGCCTCTTTAAATGCGAAAACCATCATGTCTATCTCATAAGCTCTCGTCTCTTTCTCTCTCTCGTACATCATAGCTTCCATTTCCTCTTGGAAAAGCCTTACCTTCTCTGTCAGCCCTCTCAGGCCTTTCTCACACTGGTCGCTCTTTTTCTTGCCGACAAAACAATCCATGGCGTGTTTTCTTTGCCTAGCTCGGGACTACAGGTGGCAGATCTTTTTTTGTTATATAATCTTGTTTGATAAAGAAAGAGATAAAGATATGGTGGGGGTTGAGTTAGAAGGAAGGTGTGTGAATGAAATAAATTCCCTTACAGTACCAGAGGCTCCTCCATCAATGAATTGAACCTGCCAAAGCCATCAAATTCCACTCTGTGGCAGTATTTAGCTAGGCCAGCTCTCTTTGAATAATGTGGTTGATAGTGCCAAAAAAGCCCGTAAAGAGGGCTGCCTATATGTCTGACGTCCAATTTACATAAAATTAGATACGACAAGACACTCGAGAAAAATATGCAAATGTAACGGAGATACGCTGCCGCTGGCTAGCTATTATTTTCATAGATTTCAGAATCCAATTTCCAACATTCATGCTCGACATCATCAGTTGATCCTACATTCATTGCAATGGAAATGAATAATTCATGAAATTTCTTTTCTTTTCTTTTCTTTTTTCCGGCGGTGTTTAATTTAAACTTCTGCATGCACTCAGTTCTACGTTTGTAGAAATATCGTCTCTTTTGTTTATGTTTAATGGAGTATTTTTGGGTTAGTTTTAACTTTATTTGAGACTTTATATGTTTGGCATTGTGATTTAAAATATATTTTATTTTAAAATATATTAAAATAATCTTATTTTTTATTTTTTATTTTCAAGATTATTATATTAAAATCTTAAAAATGCTAAAAACAACATCAATTTAATATTTTTTCAATTAAAATATTTCAAAAAATATATTAAAAAACAGTAGCTACTAAGGTATTAAAAAAGTATTAAAATCAATAAATTAAAACATTAAAAAATACTAAAAACAACGTCAATTAGAAAACAGATCATGCCTCTTTTAACCTATTAGCAACCCAAATTCAGTATCATTAAGAGGAGTTTTTCAATGATAATTAGACTTTGAGGTTAGAAATTAATTAGCCTTTTCGGATCTTTCACAGAATCATATATATAATTTCCTTCACAGATTTAATTTCCAGTGAGAAAAGCTACAGGTTCATCAAAGACACGATCAAATTGAGAGATTAAAATAAATATGCGCAAAAGTAATTAACCTCCGCACAGAGTCATTGGAGATTCAAGTGAACATTTAACATTTAATATTCAAGTCATTAGAGATTCAAGTGAACATTTAATATTTAAATTAAATTTTAAATGACATTTAATATTTAAAAATACTATAAAAATAAATCAAAGATCAACCTCTGATTTACAATTCTAAATTGAAGAAAATTAATGTTAAAACTATTTTTTTCTAAAATATCTATTTATCTATTGAAAAAAACATTCAAAGAAATAAAAATGAGATGGTAAGAGTAATATGAAAAACAAAACCTTTATCATTTAGTTTTTTACTTTTAAAAAATATATTAGTGAATGAATTAGCAGCTGTTGTTTTTTATTTTTTTTAGTATCTTTATTATTTTTTATTAAGTTTCAAAATGATTTTTTAGTTTAATGCAAAGTAATTTATGCCTTACTAGGAATAATATTTAAACATAAATATACATATAAATAGACAAATAAAAAGTTTTTAAAATCTAGAAAAATAGTGAAAAAAATGATAATATTAGAACATTGCAAAACAAAAATAGCTTCATGTGAAAAATACAAAATCCAGAAAGTTGCAGGAAAAGGTTTTTCTTTCCCATATTGCCCTGAAAAAAAAAAAGACCTGAGAGAAGATTCTCTTAGGCCTCCCGCACCCGTCGCCGCCGAGACCAGGGGGCAAAGCGAGAAAAGATCGGGTATAGTATACAAACAATTTTTCCGTCCAAGAAAACAAATTAAATCGCTGTCACCATGTCGTAATTTGCGACCTTGTAGCTAAGTATAGTATACAGTACGTGTACTCTTGGAGGCCAGCTTTTTAACACCGAGAGGGCATGATTACAGATTTTACGATTGAACAAGCAGCCTTATCAGAGCAGTGCAAAAGACAGTATCTCTCTTTCCATCACATATATGCTCTTCTTCACTGGCAATCTATTACAGTAAAGAGCTGATAATTTTGGTGCCAAATTAGCTAGCTAGCTAGGGCATCCTTGTCCTTGCCCATTGACATAATTGTATGTGTACAAAATACACTTATGGTGACACATCTTCGGATTCCCTGCCTGAAAGAGACTCGCTGCAGGAGCACAAAGCTTGGAATTTGACATCTACCAAAGAAATGAAGAGTGGAGAGCATGATTGTCAGCGAGTAGGGACCATTTTCGTTAACTTTAGCACTTAAATGATGTTTGACTTTCTGGTACAATTGTATTTTTTTAAAAAAATATATATTTTTATATATATTTTGATGTGCTGTTTAAAAAAAAAAATTAATTTAAATTATTTTTATATATATTTTGATGTGCTGTTTTTTAGATAAAATTATTATTTTAATATATTTTTAAATAAAAAATAATTCCAGCCATAGACTTGTAATTTTATTTGCTTTTTAATGCAGAGACTGCTTTGGCAATGGACCTCATGGCTCCACGGTCTGCACCAAATTATCGAGCTCGGTATAAATGTGTGGGCTCGCAGAGAGAGTTGTGTATACCATTGACAAGTCAGCTCATTCTGTGAGGAGAAAGATATCGGGAATGTAACTGAAACCCTTGACGAATGGAAAGGAAAAGGAACTCGGCCTCACGGGGGTAAAAAATAACATCGATGACTGTGACACAATCAACAGAGTTTACTGGCCACTAGTTAGATGGTCTGCGTTTCCCTTTGAATTAACTTTTTATCAAAGATTCAAGACTGCCGAGTATCTAAATTCTTGTATTTTTTAATTTTTTAAAGAAGATTATAGTTTTTTTTATGGTAATAATAATATTTTTAAACATTTATTAATAATAACAGTAACAATAATAATTTTAAATATTATCCTTCAAATCAAATATATGATTATTTTTTAA